GTGTTATGATTGTTGTCTGTGTTAATGTTTTATTTTAGTTTCTGTCTTGTCATCTGTTTTATTCCTCCTGTCTGCCTTTGCTCCAGCCCCGCCCACTTTCACCTGCTCCTCATGTTTCTCTCCCAGGTGTTTCCTATTTGTGCTCGTTAGTCTCACCTTTATATTCTGAGTCTTGTCTTCAATTCCCTGTCAGATCATTGTGCTGTTCACAGCCTGTATGTTTGTTGCCTTGCCTTGCCTAGTTACACCAAGTTAGTTTTTGAGCTGCCCTGCCATCCTTCTTTGTTAAATAAATCACCTTTTTGCCTTTTTGGATTTTTGCCTGCACTACAGGTTCATTACTGCCTGAAAATCGTAGCACCTGCAGCTGAAATACCAAAAGTAAATAAAAATGTGACTCATACAGTTACAGGTTGTACCAACAGTATTTTTCTTGATGGAACTGATAAAGAAAAAAATCATGAATATTGTAAAAATATCTGGCAGAAAAAAGATCAAAAGATTGGGCTGACATGGACATGATGTTTATAAAGGAAATAATGAATTATGTTATTGAGCCATTTACTACATACATCTGTAATTTATCATTTTTAACTGGATTATTTCCAGACAACATGAAAATAGCCAAGATAATCCCTCTTTTTAAGAGTGGTGAGAAATGTATGTTCAATAATTACAGACCAATATCTTTGTTGCCACAGTTTTCAAAAATTCTAGAGAAGTTATTTGTGACCAGATTAGATCAATTTATTGATAAACATAATATATTAAGTAGCAGTCAGTAAAGGTTTAGAGCTAACAATTCCACATCAATGGCACACATGGACTTAGTAGAGCAAATAACTGCTGCTGATCAAAAACAATACTGTGTTAGTGTTTATGTTGAATTGAAGAAAGCTTTCAACACCACTGACCACACCATTCTTATTGAAAAATAGAACAAATACGGTATTAGAGGACCAGCCCTACAGTGGGTATCTAGCTATTTGAAAAATAGAAAACAGTTTGTTCAAATAAATGATGTAAGATCTGAATTAAGTAATGTCACATGTGGAGTGCCCCAAGGTTCAGTACTTGGACCAAAGTTATTTATTTTATATGTGAACAACTTGGTAAATGTGTCAGGGTTGTTCAAATGTGTTTTATTTGCAGACGAAACAACATTCTTTTGTTTTGGTAAAGATGTGGAATGGATGTTGGTGGTGATGCAGACAGAATTTGTTAAAAATACAAACTTGGTTTCAACTCAAATTATCAAACAATAAATCAATCAAACTAATTTATTTCAAACATGATGACCATGATGCCTATCATTAAATTTAGATAAGACTAATTATACAATATTCGGTAACAGAAAGAAAACTGTCAATGTTCCTTTTAGAGTTGATGGTGTTGAGATCTGTAGACTCAGTGAGGTGAAGTTTTTGGGTGTCATTGATGAGAAACTGACATGGGGACCTCACATAAATCATTTAAGAACAAAAATAGCCAAATCCATTGCAGTATTGTACAAAGTAAAGGATTTATTTAATGATAAAGCTCTGTTTATATTATATAATTTAACAATTGTTCCACACTTGATCTACCATATTGATGTTTGGGGAAAAGCATGTAAAACAATTATTAATCCTATTTTTATTTTACAGAAAAGAGCTGTAAGAATTATCACCAGAAAACATTACAGCCACCTGACAAATTCATTGTTCCATCAGTTGAAGTTATTGAAATTCTATGATTTGGTTGATTATAGTATTTTATCAGTTTTGTATAGGGCTCATAAAAACACATTACCTTCAAACATCCAACTACACTTTATTAAAAGAAAGAGTTGTTATAATCTCAAGGGGATAGAAATGTTTGTGAGACCTAAAGTCAGAACCAGTTTAAAGGAACGGAGTACTTCAGTCCGGGGAATTAAATTATGGAATAATCTGGAAGATGACATTAAAAATGCCAGATCAATATGTATATTTAAGAGAATGATAAAGGTTAATTTGCTGGAGAAATATGTAAATGTATGAATTGTTGTTCAATGAGTTAAACCTTTGTTATTTTTCTTCTTTTGTAAAC